CGCTACTGACATGCACAAAGAACTCATTTGAGGGTGGTCCCACCCCCTCAGCCTTAAAAAAACGAAATAGGTGGGCCACCTATTTCCGACCCCGCCCCCCCCACCCCTCCCCCCCTTAAGGGGGCGGCCGTAATATATCTATATATCTATATCTATATATATATATATAAAATCAACATATAGTATAGCATGTAGTTTCTAATCTAAAGTATATCAGAACCGGACCCATTGCAGGCCCATTTTGACACTGTATGGTTCATGCCATAAAACCATGCCCCATGTCTTCTGTGATAATGCGTTGAGCTGGTTTCCAGGGCGATGCTGCGCCGTACCGGCTGATGTTCTGGGAAGACATCAGCACCGAGTTCTTGGAGTGTATAGCCAGAGGCATAACTCCGATCTTTCTGGGGACGCCGGCTATTTATGAATATGTCGAAGCTCGGCTTTGAGGATTAGGAGATTCTGGAGCTTGAATTCAGGGCTGGACGAAGCCGGGGCATTGGATATGCACGCTTGGCTGCAATAGCGCGCGCACACACACGCACGCACACGCACACACACTTTTTGCGCACAGAAAAGTTCAACAGCGGACCCGTACCTTTGCGAGCCCGCGAGTGCTCGGCACCCGGGGTACAGGTGTTGAGAGAGAGAGTGGAAGGCGAGAGAGTCTTGGGATAGAAAGTCTTCAGCGAGAGACCAGGTCCTAGATGCTGGACTTCAGGCCATAAAACGAACAAGATAAAGAACGCCACCGTCTGCAACGATCACCAAACGAACTTCAGGGAACACGCGTTTAGACTACTGACGGCACTTCGTGGGATTGATAGTCGGAGCTTTCAGCTGCATTTCAGCTAGCAGTCTTAAATTGTCAAGCTTTGCTCGTGCTTCACGTCTCTTCAAACAGAGGCAGCCTGAGGCGGTGCGGGGCTTCTGCGGGTAAGTTGAGCTCAGTGAGTATACAACTCCGTCCCCGCAGTCGAGGATGCTGCTGGATTCGAGGATCTTGATGCGTGTTGCGAGTGGAAGAGCGAGAATAATATTCGAACACGCAGACGACAATATGGCTCCAGAGACGGCAGAAGCCGAGCAGGAGGAGGTGGCTCCGGATTGGCACATCTGCTTCAAAGAGGCGCAGCAAAGCCAGTCGCCAGTGTTCAGAGCCAATGAACCTTGATGCAGAAGTTCGGGGACAGCCACGAAGCTGTGCTATGCTGCCAATGCTTGAAGCTCGTGTACAGAAAGAGTCGCCTCCTGTGCCTCCTGGTATCCCAACCAAGATCGAAGACTCCACTGTTTTGAGAAGAACGTCATACAGGTGTGGCAGGCAAGCGTTGGGAACTTCTTTTGCTGGCTGGAACGCGAGATGATGCTAAACTCGAAAAAAGCGAGTGAAGGTGACAGAACAGGAGCTGCAGGACTTCAAGCTAACAACGATCTCACCTTCATTCGCCCTCACTCTGACAGTCATTCTCACTCTCCCGCTCGCCTCCAATCTCACTTTCATGTTCACTCTCGCGTTCAATCCCACTCTCACTCTAGCTTCCGATCTCACTCTCATTCTCACTTTGAGTCTCGCCCTCATTCTCACTCTCATGCACAGTCTCACCCTCACTCTCGCTCTGGATCTCATCTTCACTCTCACTCTTACTCTCGCCCTCCTTCTCACCCTTATTCTCACCGTCAATCTCACTCTCATTCTTTCCCTCATCCTCACTCTCACCCCCAGCCCCACTCTCACCCTCAATCTCACTCTCGCTCTCATTCTCACTCTCACCCTCACCCGCACTCTCGCCTGCATTCTCACTTTCACGCTTACACTCGCCTTCCTTCTCACCCTCTCCCACCGTCAATCTCACTCTGACTCTCGCCCTCATCCTCACTCTTACTCCGGTCTGACTTTCACCCTCTATCTCACTCACACCCTCTCCCTTGCCCTCACCTTCGCCTTCAATATCACTCGTTTAATTCAACTAGTAGGAGCTCCTCACCAGGTGCTAGTCACACTGCCGAATTCAACGGCTAAGCGCGCAGAGGTGCGAGGGGGAAGCAGCCGGTGTGAGCAACACCGCCCCAGTCACCCCCCCTCCCCAAGTGAAGACTTCTCAACGGGCCAGGGCATGACGGACAAGGTGAAGAGTTTGGAGTTAATTAGCCCCACCACCCACCCCCACCCCCCAATGGAATGCCCGAGGAGAGAAACGTCTTGCTCACGCGCTGGCGGTTCGAGACGGCGGAGGAGATGATGGCCACAATTAGCACGCTGTCCTCACCGCAGGCTCATCTCCGAAACCTGCCCTGCTAGACCCAACTGGGCAATTGTCCGTCTGAAGCTTCCGGCGAGGGTGTTCTGGAACACGGCACCCGTGTATTTATGGAACGCCAGGGAAACTACTTCCTTAGCCGCGCGGCTTACATTAGGTTCCCAATCTGTTGTCATCAAGTCGTGATTCAGTCACCTGGAAGGCTTCTCATTATTCTAACTACACTTACACTGCATGGTCAGGAGTCCACGGTGCTCAGTTCTGACTGTTGCAGGCAGCCCTTCTGGAATCCATGCACCGTCGCATGTTTCACACTTTACACACTGGTGTTTGAAGAGGTTTCTCCTCGCTGGATATTGCAGGCGTTTTAGGCTTGGCAGTGTCTGCCGTGCTGAATATCGTAGTGGCACTGCCTAGTACGTTGCGAGAGCGCAGCACAGGCAGACAGAGAGTACACAAGTACACAATTTCGTTAGCATTTGAGGGGTGGTGGTCGTCTGGCCTGGTACTGAGAGCGAGCGAGAGAGAGACTGCGAGCCACGCTCCACCTGGGCCTGCTCAATGGGGCATCCAATCTTTTCTTTGGCCAAACATGTGCACACAAAATGTTGGATGGGGTTGCTCCCGCCCTACACACCCGTTGATGGATACGTGGTCATCAGAGTGAAACGAAGTATTTCTTTGTCCGAAGACTCGCTCTGAGTTGCTTCAGCTCTGTCCACACGTTGTGGTTTAGGGTAAAGAGGAGGATCTTTGTCCGAGGGAATTAGATGCTGCAGTGTTATCGCGATGGAAAGCCGCCGGGGGGGCCAACCCCAATTAGCCTTGACCTGGCCTTGGCGCAGTGTTGAGCACGGGCCTCCCAAACCGGGGCACCCAACGACTCCACAGAAGGCGGGCTGCCCCAGGTTCTCTTAAATAAAGCAGGTTTTTGTAAACCGACGAATGTTCAAAGCAGCGCCGTCGAAATTCGGGCAACGGAAGCGCTCTCCAAAGGCGACGTAGCCCAGAGCCAACGGTCGGGCACCGACGACACCCTTACAACGGTGCCAGATAGTGCGTGTGAGCGCTGTGCAGTTGAGTTGGGCTCAACGTGCCGACGGAGCCCGGAGCATGCCCGTGCGACCTGTCGCAGCCTGCATTGCCGGACAGTTCTGCCCCAAGAGACGAAGACGCAGGAGCTGCGACAAACGGCGCAACTGAAAAGCAGCATGGCAACTCAAGCGACTAGAGAGAGAGAGAGAGAGAGAGAGAGAGAGAGAGAGCGCAAGCAAGAGAGAGGCCGGAGGGTCATCCCCCTGCTCATAGCCCTGCCGAAAGAAAGAGAGAGAGAGAGAGCTTGTTTGCGCATCGCTTTTCTTTACTACTCGCCCCGCAACGGTCGGGGGCGCTGACAGCGCGCGGGCGGGGGAGAAACCCCCAAGCCCACAGCCCTGGCGAAAGAAAGAATGGGGTGCACTCACAGCTCGCAGTTGTCGGAGGAGCAGCGAGGCTCGTGGAAAACGTCCGCGGCTTCGCCCCCTCGCTCGCAATGTCAAACAGCGATGGAGCAATGGCAGTGCCATGAATGGCTGCAGGATGGCACGCAGCGGCCCCTGAATGCGGGGGCAGAGGAGGAACCGGGGCATCGTCCCGTCCACTGGGCCGAGATCACTCCGAATCCTACGGGCAGCCTGCGGGATTTTCATGCATGGCCAAGCCTGTGAAATTTGTGCCTAGGTTTTTGAGGCCTTCTCACCGTGGGAAGATGTGCTTGAGGTTGAAATTCAAGGGTGGCCAACAACCTCAGAAGGAGCAGATTACGTGGCTCAACTGCAACAAGCACGGCGCGCAGAGACGCCGCCGACCAGGGGAAACACGGCAACCGCCCCCAAGAGATGGAGATGGAGCCGAAGACCCACCCCATGACCCGGGGGACGAGGAGAGGGAGATCCAGACGAAGCGGAGGCGAGGGAGCAGCTCTTCACGGAACAGCAAGAAGAACCCGAAGATTGGGAAGTGGAGAGGGCGATTCGGCGATGCAGGGCTGGGGCGAGCCGGGCTCATCTGAGCAGCCTCCTGACTCGCTGCCTGGCGCCCCGTAATATATAGACTGCGTAGAAGTAGTTCGCTGGACCGAGATGACGACAGGTTGCGGGGGACGTTGTAGTACCTTCGAACCACGTTTGCCACGTATCTATGGGGGGAAGTTCAGTCTGCTTTACGTCCTCAGTCAGGGTCCAGGCCGGAGGGCACAAAAAGTAGCAAAGACTCTAAGTAAGTGGCACCCAAAAGGCAAACCGAGGGGGGGTTTACAGCAGAGTACTTGACCGGGGGGCACAGCTCAGGAATCCGAAGTTCAGAGGTCCTTTCAGTGTGCACTATCACTACGGCATACCTTGTTGTTGCCGTTACGAGGATTCCGAGGCCCATGAAACAGGTGAAGACCCAACCTTGGACACAACATTGGTTGGTAAGGGGAGCCGCATGGGGAATCGGTGCCCATAGTGATGATGTATGCCGGGGCTGTCGTACCTCCCTTGTTGTACTCAAGGCGAGGGTTCTCTAGCTCCGGTAGCCAGTAGTGAGCCCCGTGTGAGCCCACACAAGCAGTGCCGTGATGTGTCAGCATGTGGGCCAATAGATAACAGTTTGTGTCTTGACAAAGCACGAAGTGGAGCAAGGGGGGGAGAGCGATACATGGGACCCCGCTTAGTATGTTGTACTTCTCGAGTGGTGTTGCTTACTCTTCACTCTCCTCGCGTCGGGGCGGTAGGCTCAGACAACCTTCGTTGCCATTCGCCCCACTCCAAAATAGGGTGCGCACCAGCGCAGGGGTCCCCTCACGCCCGCAGAAAGAAAGAACATCTAAGGAGAGAAATGATGGTTCAATTTCGTTGTTTACAGAGAACCGTTATCTCCTGGCTGGCAAGGCTTAGCCGAGCCATGTCTCTACAGTGCGTCCACTCCAATAAAAGGCGGTGCACCCCCTTCTTTTTAGCCACCCAGAAAGAAAGACACAACCGCGGCCAGCGATGAGAGCCCTGGATTAGTGGGAGGTGACAGAAGATGAGATGTGTAGGGCCTTCGGCGTCGCGGTGTGCCCTGCCCCGACCACCCAGACGGAGGCAGAAGCCACCCGCCACCACCCAGACAAAGACGGGGAACACGATGCAGAGGGTCAGCTTGACACGGGCTTCACGTTCACTGTACACCTTTAGACCAACCTCCACACCGAATTATCACCTAATCCCCACATCGGGTCCACGAACCAACCCGAACCCGTACACGACACTGCCCCTCCCCGAAGCATCGGGCAACCCTGAGCCAAGCTCACCAAACAGTCTGAATTCAAACGTGCACCACAGTACATTGTTGAGGCTGAGGGCTGCCCCTGGTTTGCCTCAGACGGCTGCAGGCTCTTCAGCCACAGGTTTGGCAACACAGAACAGTCACAGGACTGACCCTACCACGACACGGAGCCGGCTCCCGTATACGCAACTAGCAAGCTGTTCCGAGGCACCGAAAAATACTCATAGCAAAACAGAACACAGGGAACAGCTGTTGCAATCAACACACGCCGAAGTGACGCCCCCCTGCAGTGCACGCAGGGGGAGGGTGCGCGCCCTTTGCCTGGGCTGTGCTGAAGAAGCGAGAATGCGAAAGAAAGAGAACGCGTGGGTCGGGGCCAGGGAGTGTAGGCCCTCACGTCAAGCAAACAAGTAAGGAAGCTTGGCACACAGCGTTCATGGAAATGGTATGAGAACAAAGAATTCTGTGGATGCCAGCCAGAGTGTCATTGCAAGTAGCCACAGTGACATGGCATGCCGCAGCGCTTGGGCTAGCGAAGAAGACATTGACAGACCTTCACGGGCTCAGGTCGCTTGTACTGGCGCCAAGATCCTCGACTGCGCGCCTTGCTGCTCGCCAGCGCTGCTCAGAGACAACAGCGGCTCCAGCCACTGGGAAAGGCATCATCGAAGCTTCGCTGCGGGTCTTAGGTGCGACGGTGTGATGGTGTCGGAAGTGCTAGGTGGACGCGTCCCCGCCTGTCATGGAGATTGTCATTTGCGTTGCCTCTACGGCGCACAACAGAGCCTTGCCGCATCAGTCAGAAATCGCAGCTCATGCTGTGTCGCTGTGTAAGTCCTAAAGGACGAGGCTGCCTGAGGTGCAACTCGCGGATGCTGAGGAGCGGCACGCGACATTATCCGAACAACCTGGGGCAGCGAGGAGCACCTTCACACGGGCTTGGGCGTTGTCCTGGTTCGAGACACTCGGCTGTGCACCAGCTTTTGCATCGCAAATAAATCCGCGCATAAACAAGGCATGATTGCAGACGTTAGGTCTTGTTCTTCCTGGGGCAAACTGACGAAGCCAGTGCCGAGCACAGCGAGACTGGAGATATTGTGCTGCTAGTCTTCCAGTTTCGTTAGTCCGGTACAATCGTAAGTTTGAGATTCAGATGACCTAGTGCCGGCGAAGTTGTACTGCAGCTAAGGGCACTGGTATCGCATCTTGCATTGCTGCACACGGCGAGAGAATACGTCAGTCCCAAACAGGCTTTTGCCGGACCTGCCGGAGAACTTCGCCAGCATTTGGTTGAAGACGGCGGCAATATTGAAATTTGGGGCCGACTACTTCAAGGCCAACCATCACGTACAGAAGTAGACATACATTGTTGGTGCTTGGGCAGGATGCAAGAACACTGCGACTTGTCCTTGCCAGGGCCATGCGCAACCTAGTCACAGTGGCCCCGGGAGGCAGTCTCGTGGCCCCGGAGTGTCAGATATGCTGCAACACGCGGGGTGTTCGCACATGTGCAGCTCGGAACAGGTTGCGTTTCCTCATCAAGTGTGATGACGATGCCTTCCTTGACATCGATGCTGTGGCAGCTGACATCATGGCAAGCGCCCCCGTAGGCCAGTTGTGGAGCTGCATGCGTAGCCTACAGCCACACTTCCACAGAATGCAGGCTATAGCCAAACTGTGGATTCGCGAAGATGCTCCGTGTAACATGCTTGAGCTCCCTCCTGCCGCAGGTCTGCTTTGGGGCCATGTACCCCAGATGGTTTCAGCATTCTGACCGGTTTCCTGCTGAAGGCAAATGACATGGAATCATACCCCACGCAGCCAAGGTCATGGCACTGGTGGAGCCAAACAGAAATGCATCCGACAAGTATTTCGTCCCCCATGAAGCTGCCCGGAAGCACGCATCTGATACTTCTCTCTATTGTCGTTTATCGAGTACATGAGGCGTTGCCAGACCGAGGTTTATCCTATGCAGTCTCTCGGACTTCTCGGGTTGCATCCGTGTGTCTCAGCGGGGCCTGGCCCAGCTGTTTGCCAAGGTACTATCCACCCTATGCCCGTGGTATGGCATATGCCTTATCTGAGGATGTGGTTCTACCGCTTGGTACTGCCTTATATGAAGGTCACATAGATCCTTTTCCTTACAGGGAGGACGTGTCTGTGGGCTTGTACATTCTGGAACTGGCAAGAAGCGGGCGAGCAGCTTGTTCCAAAGTGCAGCCACCAGCATTGAACGAACGTGGCTTTAGCAAGCCGAAGGTTGTCATTGGCCATGCAAGGTACGCGTGGTTCCACACCAGCGCAAGGACGCAATGCCCTTGGAGTCTTGCCGACAAGACTTGCAGAGTGTCTTCTGAAGAGCACACGTAGACAGCCCTGCTCGCCGTCTGGGAAGATCCAGAGCCTGCTGGCTCCTGCAAGCCCAAGGACTTCAAGGAGCATTGTGCTGGGCCCCAGAGCAGCAATCCCGTGCTGGTGATGCATAGCAGCTTGGCCGGCGAACTATGCGTCATCTACGAGCCAAAAGAAGTCCAGCTGCCGTGCTCAGGATTCGAGCCTGCTACTGGGCCATGTTTGTGGAAGTTGGTGCAGGACACGTGCTCGTGTCATCCGGATTGAGGGTCACCTACATCCGTGCCTTCGACCACTGAGCAGGAGCGCCGCCGCGAAGTGGCCAAAGGTGCTACACGCAACGCGGACTTCTGCTCGTGCTCGCGGCTGCTCGCAGTGCAGAGCGTGTTAGATTGAACACGTATTGAACATAAGATAGCTTCACCCACCCGAGTTAATGTAGACTTCCGTGTCCAACCCTGGCCGGGATGCGGTTTCTGTGTCCAAGGCTTGCCAGGCAGGCGCTCTGACTGGAGGCCGCGTATGCAGCAAAAAGCCAGACTTCACCATGCAGGCCAGGAAGTTTTCGACAGCCCAGGACCTGTTGCAAAGAGGCTATCCATACTGTCCACAGCCATTTTGCAAAGGTGTTGCTTGGTCTGCTCGATCTGCTTGTTCATCGGCGTATAGAAGCGATGCGAGAGCTTGCAAAATCGCACTAAAGAGCAGTACTTAGTCAAGCACTTGATTGTTGCAACTCACTCCATCCCAGATCTAACGTATCCAACGTGTCAGTCAAACACGGTGTGATTCTTGCTGCGGGCAGGGACTCAATATTGCTTGTTAAGTGCACAGCCATGCGTGGACGCCAGAACGATGTGGACAAAACAATCTGTGTTGTTGATGCTGAGAGTGTTTGCGACATAGATGGGGGGCGCACCGTCGCAGATTCTCGTCCACTCAATGTTGGCCGCATTCTGCAGGCCATCCAGAAGTTACAAGCCGAGGGTCTCAAAATCATTTTGGTCAGCCGGCAGGACATGTCGACACTGATGCATGACTCATCTGTCGATGCATCAGGCTTTTTGTACATCAAGTCCTTGAACGGCCCAGCTATTGACACGATACGCACTGCTGCAGACTACCGATGCTTTTTCGTAACTTCTGCCGATGCTGCCGCTTTCGAATCTGACTGGCGCCTGCCACAGAGACACCAGATGTGGTTATATCAGAACCACAACATGCAGGTGAGATTTGAATTTGAGCCGCAATCTCGGGAATTCGTGCCAATTTTTTCAGCAAGCTCGCCATCCCAGGCGAGCCCCGAAAAGAGTGAAGAGTGCTATCAGCAGACCGAGTTGCTCGGGCCAGAGCATGGCGTGCTGGAGACTCTGCCGAGCGGGTGGATTTCAGATTCTTTGGAACCATTGATGGCCGTTCTTCCTTGCAGAGAAGACATTGCCTCGCAGCCGGTTCTTGCTATTCAGGCACAGGACGAGAAAGATCCCATTGTTCAGCACGCCGTCAGCTTGTCTCAGACTCACATATACAGTGGGACCGAAGAGTCCGATCTGCAAGATTGGAGAAAGGTAAAAGGGCCTTGGTCTCACGAACACATCAGCTCTCATGTCGTGCGCGTTGCTGGAACCCGGAACCCGCTTTGGGCAGTGGGAGCCGGCAGCAGGAAGCTGGCCAGAAAACGAGCAGCACATTTGGCTTTGGTAGTTGCATACCATGCATCGAAAGCAGCTACCGCAGCCTGGAATGTTGGGCCAAAGGACTGCCAAGATCTCAACTGCATGGTTGCCCGAGCCCGCAGGTTGATGGCACATGCACGTTCCCTTGGGGTTTTCCCGAGCATTCAGGAAGACAGCTTTCTTGCACCACAAGCCTCGAACCAGTCCAGTTCATTGGCTGAGATCACGGCCGACGAATTTGCCGGCAAAGCCACACGCTGGCTCGGAGACCCTGGCGTCGAGGAGGCCGTGCGAGTTAGCCTGGAGGAGATGGATGGGAAACTCGCGGGCCGGAAGGTGGTCGCTACCGAAGCCTACTTTACTGAAGCTGGTAGCGGGTATTTGAATCTCCAGAAAGGGGATCAGGTGCAAGTTATGTATGACAGGATCGAGGGACCTGGCCCCGAAGACAGGCACAAGGGCTACGTGTACGGTCGGCTTCTCACCACATCTGGTGATGCCCCGGGTTGGCTTCCGACCGATGTAGTCCGGTTCGAATGATGCTCAGCTGCTCGAGAGGCCATTCACAACACTCTGCCGCGTGCTATGAGCTTGGACAAAGGTCTTGCTTTGCATATCTTCCGATTTATATGCAGGAGTTGCCCTTTTTGGGCCGTAATTTGAACAGATTGTTGGCATCGAATGTACATTCTAGTAACGGTGCAGTCGGGGATGCAGGGATACCATTTGGATCCGGTTTAGCGGCGTGTACCTAGCCCAGACCAAAACATGAGGACCATGTCGAACGGATAAAGGATAAAACTGATTTTGTGACTGGAAGTCTGCAACTTGTGGATCCCCGGTGCTATCTTCTGTTGACAGGGGCTGTGGTCCCCGACAGTGGTCATGTTTCTGGCCTTAGGCTACTTCCAGCCGAACAACAGTAGCAGAACTAATGTCACAATCGTAGATTCCAGCGCCGCGGTAGTCATCAAAAGGGTTCTCAACTTTGAAATGGGTGCTCTTATGAATTCGGAACGAATGAATGGGCTTCTGGCAATGCGACAAAATCCCCACAACTTGACATGTTGCTACCCTCAGTCCTCCCACTCGAGCCATTGGCCCTCAGCGGCTGGCTCAGGGGTAGAGTAGACCTGCAGAGCTGGATAAGCGCATGATCTGTGTCCAGCATTTGCTGTGCCTCGTCGTTTACCACCGCCTGGATACAAGCCCTCGCTGGCAGGTTGGCACTATTTCGCGTGTCCTGTTTTCGGATGTAACCTGAGACGTGTTTAGCCTACCCTTGACAAGGCCCCTTCCTACCCTGCTGCCTTGTCTCGAGACAGGTACCAGATAGGCCTCGCAACCGTGCTCTCTGCTATTCTTCTGCCTGCTGGGAGCAGGCATCAATACATTCAATTCGCACCTGCTTCCGTAGATGCAGGCGGACAGGCTTGAGCCCTCTCTCCAGAGATCAGCAGGTGAGGTTACCTTGGGTTTTGTCATGCAAATTCCTCGGCCCATCTACGTCCACAACATCTGTTGGTTCACCTTTATTGCAAAAACGCTTTTCATCTGCACGCTTTTCATCTGCAGACTGGCTCCGCTCCTGGTTGGAGTGGTCCCCGAAACTTTTGCGTTGATCTCAGTCAGGATCCAACTGTACAGTCGAGATTCAAGGAGATGCAGTACACATCATGGCCGGAACCCTCTTCATGTTTCGTTGGTGCTTGCGGACTTGCAACTTGGAAAGCCTTGGGTGGTGGTGGCTGCCAGCTTGAGACAGGCGCTGCAGAAAGGCCCATCACGCCTGGGCTTGTGGCGTGGCTTGTGCTCTGCTCTCGTCGCATCGAGACAAGGCGTGATGTGGCAACTTTGGGAGGACGGGCTCTCACCTGCTTAACTCAGGTCCTCAAGTTCAAACCGTTACGCTGAACACGGATCACCCGAATCCCATGGCACTCTTAAGCTCTGCAGCTTACAGCTGGAAGCCCTGCATCCCACAAACTTTAAACTTTAGACCCATGAAACTCACGGGGTTTATAGGGGACCCACCGGAAGCCCACTAGGCCCCATTGGGCCCCATTGGCAGATTGCAACCCACAGAGGTCCCCTCCACAGGGGTCCCTCATCAACCCTGTGACAAATATTTCGGCTATCCAAGCAGACCTGAAGTTTCGGACTTCCCTATAGGGTTTTAGGCCTTAGGGTTTAGGCCGATTATTCAGAGACTGTGAGCGGGCATCGACAAGCATGGATTACGGACTTGCAGGGTCTGTGGCTTTGGGACAACGTGAGCCACTTCTCGCTTTTTGTAAGCATGGTTTTTCTTGTTCTTGTTCTTTTGGAGGTAGTTTATGTTCTTGTTCATGTTGCTGCCGTTGTTCTTCTTTATGTTTTCTTACTAATCACGAAAGCTCTCGCCAGGGAGCCTTTCGTTTCAAGAGTCAGAACTTGTTCTGCCAGAAGGCTTAGGGGGTATGGGGGGGGGACCCCCCCCAACAGGTGGC